GGGGGTGCGAGACGGGCCTAGCTCCGAGGTTGGGAATTTTCAAGGCGGAGGACCGGAGCGTGAGTTACCCGTCGAACCGTGAGGGTTGGGTGCGGTGTGAATAGTGGCGTGAACAATAGTCAAGGGGTGTCGCGTGTGGTAACGGCGAACTGTTGGGTTACTGTTGACGGGCACAGTCATGTACGCGAAGTAAGGAAAATGACATTTTCTTACATTCGCCCAGGTTGTTTTCATTTTAAGTTTTTAGACCAGCGTGATTTTTTCGTTTTAGTTTCCATCGGGTGGTTGTTGTAGTTGTTTGTTCAGTTCAGCCCATCCCATGCACCTAATCTTGAACCCCACCGCCACAGTGCAGAACTGTTTAGCCAGGTGGCTTGCCACGTGTTCCATCCGGAACTACAACTGTCCTCCGGTAATTTCACGGGGTCAAATAGCCGAGTCGCGTTAACGTTTGCCCGAGACGGGGTGAAAGTATACAGATAAAAAAAGTTCTGGTTAATTTCACACTCGAGTTGCAAAGCCTGCTGATGACGTGGATAAAAAACATAGGACGATCTCAAAGAAATTTCACCAGCCAATGCGACACCACCACGTCAGGATTGCGTGGGGCTGGGGACCACGGAAACCAGAATCAGGGCGTTGCTGACTTGATATACGATACGAAGTCAAAGTTCCGAGTCATAACATGAGTTAGAAGACGTCCCGAAATTTTCTCAAGTTGTGGCATTCCGTTACAAGTGCAATCGAGTGAGTGCGCGAGAATTGCAATATCGAAGCAACAAGTTCAAATGAGCGAAGGCATGAGCGAAGAATATATAGCGAAACTACGGTGGTAACGGTAATGTGGGAAAATGGGGTGTGCGACGGGCCTAGCGCCGAGGGTTGGGAAATGTCGAGGCGGAGGTCCGGAGCGCGGGTAACCAACCGAACCGTGAGGTTGGGTCGCGTCGTGAACAGTGGCGGGAACAGTGTCGAGGCGGGTGTCGCGAGTGGTAATGGATTACTGTTGGGTGCTGTTGGCGGGAACAGTGGTGTACGCGCTGAGCAGGGACGCAAAGTAAGGAAAAGAAATTTTCCTTACACTACCCCCCCCCCTAAGGAGGACCTCCTTACAAAAGCGCGTGTACATCCCGGAAGTTTCGGCTGCGCAGCTACTCGGTGAGAACTGGGTGATTCTCAATTATATCCAGGGGGACCCAGTTGTCCTCTGTGGCGTGCGGTTTTTCCAGCGGATCAGAAGTTCGATCCTGCGAGCTCCCCGTGGGTCACGAACTCGGTGGCTCAAAATCGTCTCGGGTGAGATTATTGGCTCGGTGGGTGGTCGTGTCATGCTGGCTGGGCGGTTGCGAGGTAGTTGGCTGGTGGATGGCACGTAAGGGCGAAGTAGGCTGACGTGGAAGGACGGGCTGACGTACCAGTCAGCAGGGAGGCCGGGGTGGGCGGTGACGAGTGTGATCATGTGGCTGATGCGAAATGGCCCGCAATATCGGGGGCAAAGTTTTGGGTGATGGGCAGGCGGAGGTTCTGGGTGTCGAGTAAGACTAGGTCGTCGGGCTGGTAAGTGACGGGTCTGCGGTGGCGGTCGGCGTTGCGTTTAGCGATGACGTTAGCTTTTCTAATTGTGTCTGCTGCTCTGGTCCGTGCTGCTTGCAAAATTTCGGCGAACTGTTGCGCGCATGGCACCGGGTTGTCGGGATTTGGGGTCATGGGTACTGTCGGGTCTTGTCCGTAGTTCAGGTAAAACGGTGACTGTTGGGTGGTGGCGGATGGCGAGTTGTTGTATGCGAATTCGATAAGTGGCAGCTGTTGTTTCCAAGTGGTCGGGTCGTTGCACGTGGCTCGGATGAGTTGTTCCATGGTCTGATTTGTCCTTTCTGTCTGTCCGTCGGTCTCGGGGTGGTACGAAGAACTAAACTGTAGTCGCGTGCCAAACTGCTGCCACAGGTTCTGTCAAACTCATATGCTATAGTCTGTGTAGGCTGTATTGGGGTAGACAATATGGGGTACAACTTTTCTAGGTTTTCCTACTTGTACCCACCTCTTTGCTAGTTCATTTCATTCCTCATTTCTTCACATGGTATAGAGCAGGTTCCCTAGTGGAACGCTTCTCAAGGCCACCACTGAAATCGACTTTTTTCTGACCGGAGCGCGAGTCGCCCCTGCCCGAGGCGCGCCCCGTGGGCCGCCCTCTTGTCGAGCCCTCCTAGAGGCCCCTCTCACGGCCCCTCGCGCCACCCTTAGCGGCCCCGTCGCCACCCCTAGCGGCCCCGTCGCCGCCCTTCTAGGCCCCTCGAGGCCCCTTCGCGGCCCCGTCGCCGCCCCTAGCAGCCCCGTCGCCGCCCTTCCAGGCCCCTCGCGGCCCCTACGCGGCCCCGTCGCCGCCCCTAGCGGCCCCGTCGCCGCCCCTCGCGGCCCCGTCGCCGCCCCTCGCGGCCCCGTCGCCGCCCCTCGCGGCCCGTCGCCGCCCCTACCGGCCCCGTCGCCGCCCCTACGCGGCCCCGTCGCCGCCCCTACCGGCCCCGTCGCCGCCCCTACGCGGCCCCGTCGCCGCCCCTAGCGGCCCCGTTGCCGCCCCTCGCGGCCCCGTCGCCGCCCCTCGCTGCCCCGTCGCCGCCCTTAGCGGCCCCGTCGCCGCCCCTTGCGGCCCCGTCGCCGCCCCTTTCGGCCCCTCCCCGGCCCCTTCACCGCCGAGCCGCCGAGCCGCCGAGCCGCCAAGCAGCCGAACAGCCGAGCAGCCGAGCCGCCCAGCAGCCGAGCCGCCGAGCTGCCCAGCAGCCGAGCCGCCGAACCGCCGAGCCGCCGAGCCGCCCAGCAGCCGAGCCGCCGAGCCGCCCAGCAGCCGAGCCGCCGAGCCGCCGAGCCGCCGAGGCCGCCGTCGAGCCGCCACTACCGAGCCACTGCCGAGCCGCTGCCACCGCGGTTACCGCACTGTTCCTTCCGGCGCGCCCCGGCCCTACCCACCCGGACTGGTGAGAGCACTCCCTGCTAGACCACTGCTGTCATGGCTACCCTCAGTGTACTTACCTTTGATGCTGAGGGTCGTGCTGTTGACTTCGAGGTCTGGGTCGATGACCTACAGCTCTTCCTACAGTGCGATAGGGCAGACGGACTCTCCCTGTTCGATCTCACCTCTGGTGCCTCTCCTGCCAGCACTGTTCGCTCACAGTGGGCCACCCGCGATGCTGCTGCCCGTCTTGCTGTGCGTCGCCACTTACCGACCACTGAGCGTGCGCACTTTAGTCAGTACAAGAGTGCTAAGACCTTGTACGACGCTGTAGTTGCACGCTACTCTTCCCCTGCCACTGCTGCCCTTAGCCGCCTCATGCTGCCGTACCTGTTCCCTGACCTCGCCGCCTTTCCCACTGTCGCTGACCTCATTACGCACCTTCGCACTAGTGACACACCGCTACCGTGCTGCGCTTCCTGCTGAGTTCTGCGCCAAGAACCCCCCCCCATGTACATCACCCTCTACTACATAGTCACCCGGCTCCCTGACTCCCTTCACTCGGTCAGGGACCACTTCCTCTCTGTTTGCCCCACCACACTCACCGTTGACCTCCTCGAGGAGCGCCTCCTGGCAGCTGAGAAGAGTATAGTCGCTGTAGGAGCCTCTCGTGGTGACCCTCGTGCCCCCTTCTTTGAGGGGTGCTCCCCTTCCCCCTGTTGCCCTCTGTTGCCTCTGCTGCTGCCGTCAACCTCGTTGGCTTCGAGTCGGTCGGAGCTGCGTCTGCCCCTAGCGGGAGACGCCGCACCGGCAAGGGCAAGGGGGGCAAGGGCGCTGGAGGGGCTGGCGGGGGCGGTGGAGGTGGCGGTGGAGGCAGTGGAGGGGGTGGGGGTGGTGGTGGGAGTGGTGGCGGGGGTGGAGGTGTCGGTGGCAGCAGTGGAGGCGGAGGAGGCGGCGGCGGCGGTGGCGGTGGGAGCGGCGGCGGCGGAAGTGGCGGAGGCGGCGGCGGCAGCGGTGGAGCTGGTCGCGGCTCTACGCAGAGGAGTGGCTCCGGTGGTGGTCCGCGCCAGCTGCAGCAGCGCACTCGTGAGACCCTGTCCCCCCAGCAGCTTCGTGAGTGGTACGCTGCGCGTCAGCGAGGTGGGGGTACTGGTCCCTGTACCTACGTCCTCCGTACCGGCGACCGCGCTGGTGAGCAGTGCGGGGGCTCGCACTCCACCCAGCGCTGCTTCGGCCGCCTGACGGACGCTTGGCTTCACCAGTTCCCTGACGCCACTGAGATCCCTCGCTGGGGAGAGCTGTCTAGGGCGGGGGTTGCTATCTTTGATCTTGATTATGATGCTATTCTTGCTGCCATGTATGCTGGTGTCTGCTAGTGATGAGGGTGACTGTTACCTGTGTGTTCCGCCTGACCCGGGCATTGAGGCTGCTGCTCTAGGTGCTGGTGAGGCTGCTGCTCTAGGTGCTGTGCGTCTGCTGCCCAGGTGCTGGTGAGTCTGCTCTCTCAGGTATCACGTCGGCTCAGGCCTTACACACCTTCACCCTTGACTCGGTGTCTTCCCGCTCCTTCTTTCGAGACCGCACCACGCTTACGCCGCTTAGTCGGCCAGTTGCGGTCTCCCTGGCGGACCCCTCTGGGGGTCCTGTCCTTGCTCGCTTCTCCACTATCTTACCGTGTCCGGCAGCCCCCTCTGGCACCCTGTCAGGTCTCTACCTCCCCTCGTTCTCTACGAACTTGGTGAGTGGTGCTGACCTACAGGATGGGGGGTGTTGACCAGTTCACTCCTGAGGGTCAGCGGGTGACCCACTGTACGTGTGCTCGGACGGGCCGACACTTGGCCACGTTTTACCCGTCGGCCGGGGTCGAGCCTGTACACACTGACTACTGCGTCCCCTCCGGTTGCTGAGTCTGGTCAGGTAGCTGCGTCGAGTCAGGTGTTTGCTGCCAGTGTCCAGGTCTGGTCCTGAGTCTGCTCCCTGCTCGTGTCGTCTCCTGTCCCACCAGACTCTCCTCTGGCACCACCGTCTTGGTCACCCCCTCCCTGCCTCGTCTCCGATGTATGGCCTCCCGTGGTCCTTGTCTCTGGTCTCCCCCGGTCCCTCCCTCCCCTCCCTCCGGGGCCTGCCCCTACCTGCGATCCCTGTGTCGAGGGGCGGCAAGCGCGCCGCCCCTCACTCCTCCAAGTTTCCTCCGACAGAGGCTTCCGCTGCAGGACTCTTCACATGGACGTGTGGGGCCCGGCCCGCGTCCGTGGCCAGGGTCACGAGCGTTACTTCCTGTTGGTGGTGACGACTAATCCTGTTACACCACGGTGTTCCCCTTGCGCAGCAAGGGTGACGTCACTGGGGTGTTGATCGACTGGATCCGCGCAGCTCGTCTCCAGCTCAGAGAGAGTTTCGGCTCGGACTTTCCTGTTCTGCGTCTGCACTCTGACAGAGGCGGGGAGTTTTCCTCTGCCCTTCTAGGAGCCTTCTGTCGTTGCACAGGGCATCCGCCAGACCTTCACGCTTCCGTGTCTCTCCACAGCAAAATGGGATTGCTGAGCGCCGCATTGGCATGGTCATGGACGTCGCTCGTACGTCCATGATCCATGCGGCTGCTCCCCCATTTTCTGTGGCCGTTTGCGGTTCGGTACGAAGCGCATCAGATCAACCTTCAGCCCCGAGTCTCCTTGCCGGAGACCTCCCCCACCCCCTGAGGTGGACGGGGAAGGTTGGCGATGCGTCTGCGTTTCGGGTCTGGGGATCTCGGGCGTTTTGTCCGCGACTTGTCTGCGGACAAAGCTGTCTCCCCGTGCGGTTCCCTGCGGTCTTCCTTGGCTTCCCCCCCTGACGCGCCTGGTTGGCAGTTTTACCACCCCACCTCGCGCCGTGTTCTGTCCTCCCAGGACGTCACGTTTGACGAGTCGGTGCCTTACTACCGTCTCTTCTCCCTACCGCACTGCGCCCCTCCCCCCGCCGCCGCTCTTCCTTGCGCCAGGTCCTCCCCCGGTAGACCCTCTCCCCCCTCAGGGTCCTGCCCCGTCAGGTGTTAGTCCCAGGTAGACGCAGTCGAGCCTGTCGAGGTAGCTGTTGACTCTGGTGCTGCTAGGGGTGCTGAGCCTGCGGGTGCTTAGTCTAGGGGTGCTGAGCCTGGGGGTGCTGAGTCTGGGGGTGCTGAGCCTGGGGGTGCGGAGCGTGGGGGGTGCGGAGCCTGGAGTTGCGGAGCCTGGGGGTGCGGAGCCTGGGGGTGCTGAGCCTGGGGGTGCGGAAGCCTGGGGGTGCTGGGTCTGCTCGGTGCGTGTGGCCTCTGGCGGTGCTGGGTTTGGGGGTCCTTCGGGTGCTTCGTCTCGGCGGGAGCTACCCTCTCCACAGGAGCTGCGCGAGTGGTTTGCCCGGCGCTGGAGCCGTGCTGCTGGAGCTGGAGGTGTGCTACGGTTGCTGCTGACCCTGGAGTCGGCACTGGAGTTACTCGAGCCACTGGTCCTGGAGGTGCTCGTACTGGCGGTACTAGAGCTGCTGGGACTGGGTGTGCTGCTGGGGCTGCTGGAGATGGTCCTGCTGGAGGTACCGCGGGAGCTGCTGGCGGTACTTGAGCTGGCGGTCCTGCTGGAGTTGGTGCTGCTGGAGCTGCTGGAGCTGGAGCTGCTGGGGGTGTTGGCGCTGGAGGTGCTGCTGGCGCTGGTGCTTCTGAGGGTGCTGGAGTTGGCGCTGTTGGAGCTGGAGGTGCTGCTGGCGCTGGTGCTTGCCGCTGGGGGTACTGGTGCTGTCCCTGCTGGTTCTGGAGGCACTACGCCGGCCGCGGCCGTACTTCGTTCCGCTCCTTTAGCAGGTTCTTGGTCTCCCGCCCTCTACTGGAACTGCTCCTCCCTTAGAGTGTCCACAGCCTGTCCAGTCGCGGTCACAGTTACAGCCCGCCTCCCCCCTACCTGCTCCTTCTCCCTACACTGGTCCTACTGGAGGTCTTGCTGAGCGTCGTGAGCCTGCGTCTCGTCCTGCGTCGCCTGTTCGTGCTGCTCGCACTAGTAGTCGTGCTCCGCCGTCCGCGTCCTCCTGCGGTCCCCAGGCACACACCAGATGGCACTGCGTCCTTCCACTGCTCCTCTGCGTGTCCCGCTGCCGTCTCCTCCAGAGTCCTCTCTTCCTGTCCTTGCTGACCCGGAGTCTGACTCTCTTCGTGCTGCCAGTCCTACTGTTCACGCGTCTCCTGGCTACTGTTTGTCACTGACCCTTCCTTTGAGTCCACTGCTGCGTCTGCCTTGGTTGCTGAGCTTGTGACTTTGCTGCTCGCTGTCGTCTAGACTACGCTGCTAGTCTTGTTGCTAAGTCTGAGTCTGTCTGTCCTCCGTCCGTCGGGGGTGAGTGTGCTCTTAGCACGGACGTCCTTGAGGACAGGCAGGAGGAGTTTCAGTGTTTTGCTGCTGCTTTGCCTCATCTCGTGTCCACGCTGATTGCCCCTGAGGGAGACCCGGATGCACTAGACATCCCGACTCCTCGATCGTACGCTGAGGCGATCGAGGGTCCCTACTCCTCACAGTGGCAGTCAGCCATGGACGCAGAGATGGCTTCTTGGAAGGTCCACAGGTACCTACGTCGACGAGGTTCCCCCACCTGGGGCGAACATCGTCAGTGGCATGTGGATTTTCAGGGTGAAGCGGCCGCCGGGTTCTCCTCCTGTCTTCAAGGCGCGTTACGTGGCTCGAGGCTCAGTCAGCGGCAGGGGAGTTGACTACTTTTAGACCTTCTCTCCCACCCCGAAGATGACCACTCTTCGGGTGCTGCTGCACATAGCCGCTCAGCGCGACTACGAGCTTCACTCTCTTGACTTCAGCACTGCTTTCTTGCAGGGCAGCCTGCACGAGGAGATCTGGCTTGCGCCGCCCACCTGGCTTCACTGGGTCGTTTCCTCCTGGTACCCAGTGGAGCCTCCGGCGGCCAGTCTACGGTCTCCGCCAGGCGCCCCGGTGAGTGGCACGACACACTGAGGACTACACTTGCGGCTCTTGGGTTTGCTCCTTCTACTGCCGACCCGTCGCTGTTTCTGCGCACCGACACCTCTTTGCCGCCGTTCTACATCCTCGTGTATGTCGACGACTTGGTCTTTGCCACTGCTGACACTGCTGGACTCGCCCACGTGAAGTCCGAGCTGCAGAAGAGACACACGTGCACAGACCTGGGTGAACTGCGCTGCTACCTTGGCTTGCAGATCACCCGGGACAGAGCACAGCGCACCATTACCCTGACTCAGTCACACATGGTGCAGCAGGTCCTTCAGCGCTTCGACTTCACGTACTCCTCGCCTCAGGCCACTCCTCTGTCTACTCGCCACTCGCTCTCAGCTCTGCCTTCGGATGAGTCCGTAGAGCCGAGTGGCCCGTACCCAGAGCTTGTTGGCTGCCTCATGTACCTGATGACCTGCACTCGACCTGACCTTGCATACCCTCTTAGCATCTTGGCACGCTATGTTGCTCCTGGGAGACACCGACCAGAGCACATGGCTGCAGCGAAGAGGGTGTTGCGCTACTTGTGCAGTACGTCGGGCATGGGGCTAGTGCTTGGAGGGCGACGTCGAGTGGTCCTCACAGGTCACACAGACGCTTCTTGGGCTGACGACCAGGCTACGCAGCGGTCGTCACAGGGTTACACCTTCAGCCTTGGTTCCGGCTTTGTTTCGTGGCGGTCCTACCCGCTCTTCTTCTGTTCTCGGCTCCAGCTATGAGGCTGAGATCTACGCGGGGGCCATGGCTGCACAGGAGCTACGCTGGCTCACCTACCTGCTGACTGACCTAGGAGAGCCGCCTCGTTCTCCTCCAGTTCTGTACGTAGACAACAAGGCCATGCTGGCCTTGTGTCGGGAGCACAGACTGGAGCACAGAACGAAGCACATTGCTCTTCGCTACTTCCTTGCTCGTGAGCTGCAGCAGCGTGGTCAGCTGCGCCTTGCCTTACGTGGCCTCTGAGGCCAACACTGCTGATATCTTTACCAAGGCACTTCCGCCTTGTGATCATCAGCGCTTCTGTACGATGCTAGGTCTTGTGCCTACTTGGCCTCACTTGCTCACTTCTTGACCTTGCTTGTACTGTGATCTTTCTATACTTGCACTTGCTTGTTTACCTTTATACATGATCTTGCATGTGAACTGGCCTTGTGGCCTTGAACTTGTGCTCGGACTGTGTGGTGACGTTGTGATCCACCCTGAGCTTGCTTTGCTTTGCTTGACTGGTCTTGTGACCTCTTGTTCTCCCCCACTTTGCCTATGGGAGTGTGTCAAACTCATATGCTATAGTCTGTGTAGGCTGTAGTGGGGTAGACAATATGGGGTACAACATTTTTAGGTTTTCCTACTTGTACCCACCTCTTTGCTAGTTCATTTCATTCCTCATTTCTTCACAGGTTCCGCCAGAAGTTTGCTGGTGAATTTCATGTCACGATCGCTGATTATTGCCGCTGGTATCCCGTGTAGTCGAACGACGGTGGCGATGAAGAGGCGGCCTGTTTCTTCGGCTGTGATCGATTTCTTGCAGGCTGCGAAATGTGCCATTTTCGTCAGTCGATCGACGACGGACCAGGATCGTGTCGTTCCCATTCGCTCCGGCCGGTAACCCCGTGACGAAGTCCATCGTCACCTGCTGCCAAGCACGCTCTCGGGGTGGTATCGGCTACAACTGTCCTGCCGGCCGCTTCTGTGATGATTTCATGAGCTGGCAAATGGGACACAATGCCACGTGTCGAACGTCGGTCAACATCTCGGGCTAGTAATAATACCGCTGCAGCTGCTGCCGTGTTTTCTCTACCCCGAAATGTCCTGAGGTAACTCCGTCGTGTGCCTCCTGTAACAGTAATTCCCGTAGTAGTGAATACCCCGGTACCCAGATGCGGTCGGTGCCGGCTTTTACGTAATAAACTCCTTTTGCTGCTACGAACTGCTGCGAATTTCCTCCTGTGAAGAATGGATCCGTTTGATACCCATGGGTGAGTAGTCCTTTCAGTAGTGGGCTAGTCTGGGCAAGTAGTATCGCGTGGATCTGGGCAGTGGAGCGGGTCAGTGCGTCGGCGATGTTCGATGCCCCCTTTTTGTAGGTGACTGTGTAGTGAAAATTGGACTCGAGGAAATCGAGCCAGCGGATCTGTCGTGGGTTGAGGTGTGGCTGTGCGCGGAGGTACTGTAGTGATTTATGGTATTGTCCGCACTGTCCCGTCTGCGCCGGTCAAGTAACAGCGCCACACTTTGAATGCGTGCACGATCGCGAGCATTTCGCGGTCGTGTATCGGGTAATTTTTCTCAGGCAGATGCAGTTTTTGAGACTCGTATGCGATGGACTGTAGGCCGTTGCCAAAGTCCTGTAGCAGTACGGCTCCGATGGCGATGTCGCTGGCGTCTGTAAACTACTTCAAATGGGTGGTGTGGGTTGGCGATGTGCAGTACGGGCAGAGAAGGCAGCCTGCTCTTTCTCCCCCCATGTAAAAACGACCCCCTTTCGCAGTAAGTCCATGAGTGGTGCTGTTAAGCGTGCCATGTCGGGGAGAAACCGACGCACATAATTTACAAACCCCAAAAAACGTTGCAGCTCCGTGATATTCGTCGGGGGGTGCCACGCTTGTACCGTGTCCAGCTTCTTTGGGTCAATTTCGACCCCAGCCTCCGAAATAACGTGCCCCAAAAACTCTAGCCTGTCCTGAAAGAACTTGCACTTGGAACCCTTTGTCAGTAGCCGGTTCTCGCATCTGCTAAGTGCTGCTGCTTGTCGCGACTGTAGACGAGGATGTCGTCGAGGTAAACTATCACACATTTATCTATTAGTGGCCTAAACGCTTCATTCATGGCCATTTAAATGTCGCCGGTGCGTTGGTCAGCCCGAATGGCATCACAGTGTACTCGAATGACCCGTACCTAGTCCTAAAAGCCGTCTTGGCGCAGTCCAATGGTTTGACTCTAATCTGATGATAACCTCCCCGTAAATCTATTTTCGAAAAGACCCGTGCTGTTCGCTGCTGATCGATCAGTTTGTCGGCGCGGGGAATGGGGTATTGCGACTTGACTGTTACACTGTTCAGTGCCTTTGTAATCGATGCACATGCGAAACCCTCCGTCTTTTTTCGGTGTGAACAGTATCAGTGCGGCGAACGGTGACGAAC